TCTACTTCTAGAACATATATTTACGCTTTTTTAGTGGAAAATGAAACAAATAGAATGAAGCATGTTTTTCTAACTTCCTTTGTAATTTAAATCCTGAGGTTTGGAAATTGTTTTCTTTTTATGGTTGTTGAATTTTTAGAAGAGGAGTAGGAATTTGGAGATTTTTTTTGGAATACTTTTATTTCTACTTAATAAGCAGCATATTTGACCTTCTAAGTATAGTTCTTGTGTTTCTCTAAGTACAATAAAACATGAAGGCAGTTCCAGTTTGCTCTAATGTGCAAGATTATTGAGAAACTGGCTTTTATTCCTTTTCCATACATCTGGTACTTGCATTTTATCTAAAACCCGGATACCTGGGTTCTGTACCAGCTGATACCACACTCTTTCTGTGGGTTGGCCCAGAAAAGAAAAAAAAAAAAAAAAAGGCAAAGTGCTATGTTGATGGTATCCTGCCACCCCTCCGTCAGGCTCAGCCTCCCTGGCATGGAGGCCACATTGGATCCCCAAGTTGTTTATGGAGTGTGGAGCCTCAATCCCCAGACTGAGGCTTGACCTGACGAACATTACATCCCTCCGTCAAAAGGCATCTCTGTTCCTCTGAAGGCTCATGGCCTCTCTTTTATGCTGAGTAAGAATGGAGTGCAAGATGATAGTTGCAGCAGAAAGTAAAGCTCAGCCCAGTGGCCCCCAGAGTGTGCTAAATACTTAAGAGAAACACAATTCACAGCTGGCTGCATGTTCTTGTCCTTCCCTCCTAACAAGGGGATTGTCTCAGAGTCCTGTTAAATACTGTGATTTAGCTACATGGTTTAAAGCAATATAAAGCATAATGTATTATAATGGACTAGTGTTAAAATAGAATACTAGTATTCCCTTGAATGTAATTATATAAAAGGTAGGGAACGTGTAGCTCAAGGGCTGACTCTAGACCCCTGGCGTGTTTCCTCTAGCCCTAAGGAAGTGGGATTATTTGTGGGAGCACGAACCCAAAGGCTGTCACCCAGCTTTTCTCTTCCTTGGAAGCCCACGGGCAGCTGGATCAGCTCCAAGCCGGTTCTACTGACTCTCCCTCCCCACCATCAGGGCTGTCTTCTGGCAAGTGCTTTCTGTCCTCAGCAACCTGGCTCAGAGGGCTTCTAGGACAGAGAACACTCAATTGTGGAGTGTGGAGGTATTCTCAGTCCTCTCTCAGCAGCGTGACGACCATCTCTGTGAAGTCAGGACCATGGCTTTGTTATCCCCTCACAGAACCCTGTTGGGTGCTGGGCGTCTGGAAAGCCCTCGATCTTGTTGAAAGAAGCAGCATGGCCTCTTGGGATGGGAGGGACCTTAAACGGGGTCAGCCACTGCACCACCATCCAGGTTCAGTATTTCTTCTGCAGTGGCCTTAGCAGGTGGCCACTCAGAAGTCTCCAGATGTGAGGAATTTGCCCACTTGGCTTTGCACCACTGCTTCTGAGACTGACCCCTTTTTGCCCTGTACTCCTTTATGACTGGTTGCTCTCCCTTCTCATGAGATTGATGTACCTTCAGAACGAGAATCAATTCTTACTGACTTTCCTTCGGTGTAGGCAGATGGGCGTATGTTTGAGCCTGTAAATCATTGCAGTGAAACCTGTCATCAGAACATGAGGGAGCACCAGGCGGAGCTGAAAATCCAACAGTTCACATGGGAGGGACACTGCCTTGTCCCTTGGAGGAGCCTACAGCGGCGGAGCCGGGCTGTGGTGGTGTGTGCTGGCCCCCGTGTAGCTTGCCCCCAGCTCCCTCATTTGTGGTCCTTGCTCTTGCTGCCACACTGTGCCTGCCTCTCTGGTCTTTTGCTGTCCTGTGGTTTGTCCCTTCCCAGTGGACATGGGCTAGTAACCTCCTTCGCCCTTCCTATTAGAATGTGTCTCAGATCAGTGCAATGGCACCAAGGGTGGATTTTTAAGAGCTTTGCGATGAGCAGCGTGTTTAGACTTGGAGGAATGGGTGTGTGGCCTCTGCTGTGGCTGTTCCAAGGCTTTGGAGGGTTTTGACTGTATTCCAGATACTTGTGGGCATCAAATTAAATGATTTCTGGATAAATCAGGGTTGATGTAGGAACCTTTTAAAGTAATGTGCTTTTATTACTTTCAAGTCTCTACAGTAATGCTAATAAGGTATTTCTGGGGAGGAGTCCCACTGGACATACTTGGTGATTAGTTAGGACATGCTTGCAATTAGTACCATGCATTCCATAAATTCACATTCTGCCCTTTTCTCTAAAGTAGTTTAACTATCGAACATGTTTGTTAATTTCACATAGTAAGGCTTCTAAACACACATGAATGTAAACTTAGACTCAAAGAGAAGCCGAAAATCATGAATCAGAAGAGTTTGGGATTTTTTTTTTTAAATAAAAGTACAGTGCCAAAAGAGCTCCAAACAGAGCCTTTACAACAAAGGAGAAGCAGACATGAATAGACATGTTGAGACCAATAAAAAAAAGACTTTGCTAGAAAACCATGGATTTGTTTTTTTTAAATTAGCCTCATGAGGGAGAATGGCTAGGGGGTTCTGGGTCCCTGGGACTGTGTTGCCCAAGATCTTGTGACCACAGAGATGCTCAGGAAGAACCTTAATGAGAGGGGCACAAGGAGGGGCCCCCCCCACTGAGACCAGCTCATGGGAGGAGTGGGGTGGGCACCGGCCAGGATCTTGTCCAGGAAGGTGCTGAGAAGGCTTCATCTACTTAATAATAGTCCGCCCACTGGGAAAGTTGCCTGGGCTTGCTAGGTTGTTTTATTTACTTGAAGAACTGTCTACGGCTCTAAACATACAAAGATAGAACAGTTCATTATGCCTTGCCTTCCCCTTCTGCCCCCAACCTTGTGGTTGAAAAAAAATACTCTGGAATTCAGTCTGTTCCTAGTATGGGAGCAGGGGACTGAATGCAGGACTCAAGTTATGCAGGTAAAAACTCTCTAAAGAGTTTAGAGCCCTCTAAAGAGTTCCATTTTCAGGGTGGTAAGGACATAACAGTGAGGATGGAAGCCCAACGCACTGCTTGTCCTCAGTATGATTGTGGAGGGGCCCCAGTGAGAAAAGTGCAGGGTGACCCCCACTGGCCACTCAGTGTGTGGCAGGACCTTGCGCTGACACGCGGAGTGGAGGGAACAGGCTGCGATGGTACGTGGGATGGAATGAGCCCAGGTGAGATCAAGGGTTCTCTTCTAGCCACCTGAATTTGAGGTGCTTGTTAGCATATGAGTAGCAATGTCGGGGTCAGGTGGGTGTCAGAGCCCAGGAGTTTGGTCAGGCCTGGGGTGCAACAGTTAGCATTGAGCCATAGATAGAATTTAAAACCAAGAGACTGGATGGACTCACCTAGAGAGAGTGTATGGTAAGAGAAGGAAAAAATGCAGGCGTGAACTCTGAGGCCTTCCCCCACCTAAAGTTTGGTACCCTAGAAGGAGCCAGCAAAGAAGTGGCCACTCAGGTCGGAGAATGGGGTCAGCCATGGTGACAGGGAATTGTTCTTGGAGGGAGCAATTGTGTCATGTGCTGTTGGGGGTTGCAGTGAGCAGAGAAGCAACCATTGGATTTGACAACATGGAGGCCATTGACAACCCTAACAGGAGAAATTTAATTTGCACGATGGTGACAGATTGGGTTGAAGAGTCTGTGGGAAGTGAGGAAGTAGAGGCAGGGAGTGTGGCAATCCTTTTGAGAAGTCTTCCTATAAAGGGGAGCTGAGAACCAAGGCACTGGCTGGAGAGAGATGTGGAGTCAAGAAGAGAATTTACTAAGGAAGTATGCCAGAGGAGAAAGGGCAAGGGGGTCGAGGTGTTCTCATGACTTCAGGGAAATTACTTGATGTGGGTGATGTTTTGATACTATTCACAGTGGGGTGCACGATGCTCTAAGTTCCTTGTGAAATCTACTTGTGCCCGTAGTATTTTGATGTGAGCTCTTGCCTCTGGGAGGGCCTGGGTCTTCCTTGGGCTGCAGATGGGGAACCTGGAGCTGATTCTGCATAACCAAGGTGATGGAGTCAAGGGGTTGTGCATTGACTGGTCATTAACTGATTCATTTATTCAGTGAGCAAACATCGCAGAGCCCACTCCATGCCAAATGCAGTTCCGGGTCCTGCAGACACAGGACACGATGCAGATAAGCCCCCCTCCCCTTGAAGGTGTTACTGTCTGTGGGGGCAGGGCATTGCCAAGCAAATGGCTGGGGCTGAGATAGTAGCCCAGAGCAGGCTCCTTATTTCTTAGATGCGTGATTTGAACCCATTTCCAGGAGAGATTTGGTGGATGAGTTCCTTTAGAAGGGGGTTCTTGGAAGGCGGGGCTCAGGGAAGGGAGACTATAATGAGTTGCGGCAGCAGCACCTGGGGGGATGGGGAGGGAGGTGACCTGAAAACCCCCCCTACACAGGTAGCCCCCAGGGCTGGAGAAGCTTCAGCTGGGAGGCTTGGGAATTTCTCTGGGTGGGTAACCTGTGGCCTGTGTGACGGAAGGCCCTTGGGCTATGGGTGGCTCCTCACAAATGCTGTGCCCTGGGCCCAGCAGGACGGGGCTTGGTTCAGATCCCTGCTTGCCTCAGCTCCGTGGTGTGGCTTTGGGCAAGTCCTTTACCTTGCTGTGCCTGCTTCCTTACCGGAAAAACGAGAATTGAAATGTGATGGTTCCTACCTCATAGTGCTCTAGTCTGTATAAAATGAAGCAACCGACGTGGCAAGTGCTACCTTGTTTGTTGAGAGACCACAGGGTGTGAGCTCTAGAGCCAGATTCCCTGGGTTCAAAATCTGGTTCTATTTCTGTCTGTGGGCGGGATAGTCTGTGCCTCAGTTTCCTGATCTGTGCAATGGGGATAATAGTAATTCCTGCTTCTGAGGCATCTGGCAAAGGAATCTGTGTGCTCACGGAGAAGAGTTCCCCAGGCCAAAGCACGCATGGGGGCCAGACTGCCTTCAGGTGCACACAGACTGTCCACAGCTGCATGATGCTTTTCTCTTTTCTGGGTAGTTCCGGCTGGTGGTGAAGACAGCCCTGAAGCTGCTGCTCGTCTTTGTGGAGTACTCCGAGTCAAATGCACCTCTTCTGATCCAGGCTGTCTCTGCTGTGGACACAAAAAGGGGTAAGTGGTCTGCACCCACTATTACACCAAGGTGCACATGTCTGCTGGAGGGGGGCTCCTGTTTTTAACACATTTGAAACAGAATTGAGAATGAACAGAATTCCCTTTGTGCGGACTCCCTGCTGTTGGAAACTTATTTTTTAGAACTGTGAGTACACAAAGATTAGGGATGGAACCTGGTTTAACAGTGCAAAGAACAGGGGTGCCTGGGTGGCTCAGTCGTTAAGTGTCTGCCTTCGGCTCAGGTCATGATCCTGGGGTCCTGGGATCGAGCCCCGCATCGGGCTCCCTGCTCAGCAGGAAGCCTGCTTCTCCCTCTCCCACTCCCCCTGCTTGTGTTCCCTCTCTCGTTGTATCTCTCTCTGTCAAATAAATAAATAAAATCTTAAAAAAAAAAAAAGTGCAAAGAACGGCAGTCATAGCTTACCTAGGTCAGGTCAGACCCTGAGCTTCCGTTTATGCCCTGTCCCCAGCCCCCTCCACTGAACCCAGAGAACCAGCTCCTTCTCCCCTTTCCCAGTTGTCCTGGTCACTGTGGCTCTTTTCTTTACTCCTCTCACACATGCTTTATTGGCTCTGACCCTTAGGTGTTCCTTGAATGTTCTCCCTTCCTTCCCTCCAATCCCATACTCCTCTACTGAGGGCCCTCTCTATCTGTCACCTGGCATCCCTCACCTCCCCAAAATGCTACCCTCACCTCTGCTATTGACAGATTCTTCTGAAACACAAATTTGGTCACATTGGTTCCTTGCCGGTGGCTTCCCAGTGCCTACAGAATTAGGTCCAAACCCTACAACTGACCCTTCACCATCCAAGCCCCGGTGCACCTGCCACCCCCACCTCCCACCTGGCCTGTACTGCCCCTTCCCTAGCTTGGGTCAGTCACATGCACTCTGAGCCCTGTATGTCCCCTTCTCTGCCGTGTTGTTGTCATTGATGCTTCCCAAGAGCATGTGCCCTGCTGCAGGGCAGCAGGGTCTTTGGCTCTCCTCTTGGTATCCCAGAGCCTAGCTGGCCCACAGCAGGCAGGCGTTCCATACAGGCCTTCGGATTTGGTTTAGCGTCTAACATGCCGTGGCCCCTATAATATTGTGAAGCTTGAAGCTAAAATGGTAGGAGCTTTTGGTTTTGTCCTTTTAAAAAAATTTAGGGGTTGGTTCTCTGGTAGGATATTATCATTACCACTGTCCTCCCCACAAAGACCCAAAGAAGAACCAAAACTTGATAACATTTTTTTTTTCTTTTTGTAACACTAATACCCTGTAGAAAATTTGGGAAAAAGTATAAAGGAAGACCATAACAAATCACCTCTAATCTCACCAGACAAATAATTGTTAACATGTTGGTATATTTCCTTACAGTTTCATGTATGTATTTCCATGCTTATGCACAAAGCAGCCGAGATACAACTGTCAAAAACAAGGGGCCTAGAAAGCACTCTTTGATTCAAACCATTTGTATCTCTGACTCAGCATTGCTCTGAGACCTACCTTCTAGTGCTGAATCTCAAAGGTGAATGAAAGTAGCTCCCTAGTTATTTCGACAGTTTGCATGTAAGTTAATGAAAGCCACCCAGGGCCATAAATTGAGCTCTCATACGTTGCCCGTGAACGGACAGGCAGATGTCAGCACCAGGCACGGTGGATCGCAGGCTGGAGGTAACTCTAGGCTTGTGCCTGAGGGGTGGGGAGTTGTGAGAGAGACACCCCCTCGTGTGTGGACAGGGACCTTGAATCTGGAAGACGGATTGCAGACCAGGGCAGGCCTGTGTGTTTCTACCACAGCATGTTTCCATCTGGTGCCACATTTTAAATCTCTTATGGCCAAGAGCAGATTATGGGGCCAGCTGAGAATCTTTAACGAAGACAACCAGTTCCTCAGAAACCAGGGTTTGTGTTTCCAAGGCCAATTAATGAAGTTTAGGGCCAAAGGTGAATATATGGGAAGACAGAGGGGCAGACCCTTTTATTGGTCCTTGGAGGGGTCATACTCCATCCCCCAACTCTGGGGATTACTTTAGGACAGTTGATGGACTTCTTGTTTTCCTGTCCTAAATTTTGGGTAACCCATGGGCCCTTCTCATGGGGACTGCATTTAAGGGATAAGCCTTCTCACGGTCTTGGGGTCCTCCTTTGGCTTCATTGAGTTGGGAGTTTAGAATCTCCTTCCTTGGACTTCACATTCTATAAAGGGTGCATTTTGTTTTTTTGGTGGGGGGTGGGGGTGGGTAGAGGAGTGATCCTGAGATAACCCAGGACTTGGTACCCACATCTATGACTCCATCGACCAGCTCAGCCAGAGGCTCTCTGCCATCTTCAGTGTCTCTCCCAAGACAAAACGATGGCCATCTTTTCCCAATTTGTTAAAAAAAAAAAAAAAAAAAAAAGGTAGCTAATGGGTTGTTTTCTCAACTTGATGGCTTTGCCTATAAAATTTCTTAACTTCTTGGCAGCTACTGCATCTGACTGCTACTGAGTGCTAGGCAGCTGAATAAAAAGCAACACTAATGGAAAAACTCAGACATAGCCTATCACGTGGTTCAATAGCATGTTTCTCTGTGGACATGTGTAGTCTTGGCCGTGATTTTATAATGCATACATATAACATCATCCTATTTTACTGCTAGTTAAATTGTTCCTGAGCCCTATGATGGAATTAAACATCTAAATATGTCATGGTGCTCTGCAGAGAGCACCGTGACTCCCAGGTGGGTTTCCACCTGGCCAGTTTAGAAGCAGCTCTTCATTTCCCTCTCAGCTGGGTGAAGGGCTAGACAGAGGTACCAGAGGTGACTGAGGGCCAACAGAGCATGTCCATTGGTGTACAAGTTTGTAAATAAGCCATACATTTTACTCCTCAAAGTGGCTTCAGATCCATTCCTCTGTGGGCTAGGGTGGAGAATGGGCATGTTGAAGTATAGACTTGGTTGTTTTTTTTAAGATTATTTATTGATTTATTTGACAGAGAGGGACACAACGAGAGAGGGAACACAAGCAGGGGGAGTGGGAGAGGGAGAAGCAGGCTTCCCGCGGAGCAGGGAGCCTGATGCGGGGCTCGACCCCAGGACCCTGGGATCATGACCTGAGCCGAAGGCAGACGCCCAACAGACTGAGCCACCCAGGCGCCCCAGGGTTTTGTTTTTTTTAATAGAAAGGAATTCTTTTGGATGACCTAAACTGTCAGATTTAAATAATCAGTGAAGAAAACCGACAAATAAGGTAGGAGTCCTCAAAAATGACCACCATCTACAGCAGATGAAGTCCAGAACAAATTGGTCTGGTTGCTTTATAAAGACCATGCAGGCTGCGCAGGGGTTACCCAGAACGGTGCGTTCTGTGAGTGTTGATGGTTTGCCCTTTTGCCAGGAGTGGGCCAGCTGGGGAGCAGGGATAGAAGCTCAGGGGTCTAAGTCCATCATAAGGACTAATAACTATGAATTAAGTAATGTGAAATATGCCCCCTTTGAGCCAGGTGGTCGGCCCGTTTGCTCGGGCTGGAATGGAGAGGTGACTGATGCTAGTGTCCCGGGAGTGGCACAGTATCCGAGCTGTTGCTCGGTCACCTCTTTGCTGGTGTCTTCGGGTCACTTTCCTATCCTGGTGGCCAGGGTGTGCCAGGAAGAGAGAAAGGCCGTGAATGTGGACAGGCCCCTGTGAGAGGGCCTGGCTCTGTCTTCTTGCCATCAGCAGAGGCTCCCTTTCATTGAGACTGTCCCTGTGGGGGTTGGCAGGAAACTGGTTGAGAACCAAACCCTCTGCTCCCCTGGAAAGGTGCCCTTCCCACTGACTCTATGGGTCTGCCTCTCGGAGAGGGGGTGGGGAGGGTGACCAGACTGGGGAATTTATTTTGAAATTTCAGTCATAAATCTTGAGTCAGCGCTTGGGTCAGCAAGTGCTTTTGGGGTCAGCACTGCTTTTGAAGACGTTCCATTTTCACTGGGATGTGAGGTAATGAGCTATGACATTGTTCCTAAATGTGTTGATCACACATGATAGGGGAGACAAATCCGGCCATCCTTTGAAGCCATCCCGTCTCTGACTTCTGCTCGAGGGTGTAGTGATCTGTGAAGCTCCCAGAGCATGGTGGAAGTTAGGTGATGAAACTCCAGCTCTGTTTCCATGGTTATCTATAGCAGAAGCATGCATAAGTGCATTTGACAGTCACGTAGAAAGACATGAAACATGCCGCCCTTCAATGGAGTGTTAGATCACCCCGTGTACGAGGCATTGGGCTAAATATCTTTCTTTGGAGGGAAGCAGTTACCACAGAGACCTAAGAGGAAAGTCAGAGGGAGAACTCATTGAGTCATCTCTGGTGTGCTTGCTTCTGGGTTGAGAGAGAGGCCCTGCAGTTTGGCGGGAAGAAGGGACCTGCCTGGGAGTGTGTAGAAGCTGGTTGGGTAAGTATGGGTGTCACCACCGCCACCCACCACTATGACAATTACAGCTACTGCTATTCAAGTGCCTGTTACGTACCAGACACTGTGCCAAGTATTTTTCATACAAAACTCAGTTATTCAATAAATATTTAAATGCCACCTATGTGCTTGAAACATCCGAGGAAAAACGGGCTCTTGTGGAGCCTCTAGTCACAGAGCCAGTGTCTGGGGGTGGAGCTGGAGAGAGACAGAAGGTCATGATTAAAGAAATTATTATCTCCTCATGTACTTCATGAGCACTAAGGCAAAAAGACAAAGTGCTTTATCTCCCTGACACCTCCCGGGATTGTCCAAGGTTGACACGATCACTCCTATATAGATGCATTTCCTGAGCCCCTGTTCATTCCAGTTCTTTGGGGCATCAGATCATATGGTTTATGATTCTAATACAGGACCCACCCCCCTACACACACACACATGGATGCACGCACACACTGTACAGAGCAAGCGGAGGTGGGGGAGTGGGGTTGACCTGGACCATTTAGTTGCAGCAGGTGCAGCTCCTGGGCAAGTTCAGCAGCTGGTGCTTCCCATGGGCCAGCTTGAGCCCTGCCAAGGCTGTTTTGCACCAAAATGTTTCCTCCCCTTCACCTTCTTTCTTTTAAATGTTTCCCATTTTCTGGCCCCAAAACAATCAAAGAAGAGTAAACATTCATCTCAACAGTGTAGGAATATATGCAAGTTTCCCGCCTTTGAAATCTTTAAAAGGTAATCAGATATCACAGCTGAAGAACACATTTTTCAATTAAATTAAGCCAGTGTTTGAGTGTGTTCATTATAAAGGATTAAATGGTGTGCACACGAGTATGTCTGTACGTGAGAGACAGGAGATGGTCTGGTTACACTTCCCTCTCTCTGGAAAACCTGCGTTCGCTTCTTGGCCTTTCCTTCCCCAGGCCCTGTTTGGCATCTTTGGCTCCAAAGTATGCAACCACAAAGCCGTTCTGGGTCCGCTAGCACCATTGGAAATGCTTAGCTTCAGCGTTATCTCCTGCAGTCTCCCTTGTAACCATATGTGGGTAACCCACTAGAACCCATGTTTTCTGCTGAGGTTGGGTGCGGAGCGCGAATAATACCAGTTGCGCTTGTCCTAAACAGCAGAAGTACTCGGAGTGCTGGAACTGCACCTGACAGACTCAAGATCTACTGACCACATTGACTGTCATGAGGGCAGAAAGAGTTACTTTGCTGGGGTTTGAAGAACAGGTGTGGATTTCGGAATAGTTAGATGGTAAATAACAGCCAGGAGATATGTCAGCAGTTAGCAGGCAAAAAGGGTCGTGTTTTTGTGTTTGGAGTTAGAAAGGGTTAGAGAAGCTTGCCTAGTTCTGACCAACTGGGCAATTTTGCCCAAGGAAAGGCTTTCTGTTTGCTAGCTAGGAGAGCCAGCAGACCTCTATATTAAACTATATGTGTTTTCTTAACATCATATAGTGGGTCCCTGTTCCTTTTTAAAATTCTCCTGACCTCCTTCCTTCTCTAACTGTGTGCATTTGTCCTCTGGCTCTTTTAAAAGTGCTCCAGCCTGGGTACCTGGGTGGCTTAGATGGTTGGGCGTCTGCCTTGGGCTCCGGTCATGATCTCCAGGTCCTAGGATCGAGCCCCACCTTGGGCTCCTGGCTCAGCGGGAATCTGCTTCTCCCTCTCCCTCTCCCTCTCCCCCTCCCCCTTCTTGTACACTCTCGCTCTCACTCAGATGAATGAATAAAATCTTAAAAAACTTCCAGCTTAACCCACTTCATGCCCTCTCAAAGATCTCCACTTACTATTCAGACCTGTTATGTGCCAGACACTGTGCTAAGAGCAAGGAAATAAGACCGAGATCACTGCTGTCCTTGGGGAGCTTTGTTCTCAAGGCCAGCAGATCAGCTCTGACATAACTCATTCAAGAACCTGCATTTGGAAGCCACTGATTTTACAGTATTTTGGAATTTACTCTTATCAGCAAAGATAAGCACTGTCCCTTTGAGATCTTTATAGAGAGAGCAGGAAGGAGCTTCATGTCCATTCCGCCATGCCAAGGGAGAGGCAATATTTCACTTCAAATGTTTATCTCAGACGTAGGAAATCGTGTCCAGGTTTTGTATCCCCTTTGTGACCTTGGCCTTGGCATGGCAGTCCTGAATGTGATGGGTTTTCCTCCCCTCTCTTCACCAAGAACTGGTTCTTTGTACCCTGTTAATGCTTAAATGGTATTTGTGCCTGGATTGAATAGAAGTGATATACCTCTGTTCTTGAAATGTTTGCTAACAGAGGTTTCACTGGTATTTCTTGGAGTCTACTGTTTGAGTGAATGTAAAGATCTCTCACGTCCCCCTTCCTTGCAGGAGATCAGAGCATAACATGCTGATGGACATACAGAGAGTATTTATTGTGTTTCCATGCTCAGCAAAATGCACATGAATGGATTTTTTCAAATTACAGATTTAATATAAAGGGAACTTTCAAGCAAATCTATAACCCTGCTGACAATAGAGAGTACACATTTTCAAGTGGATGAGAATGACGTGGTTTATTATTGCCAAATTAGAAGCCTGTTGAAGTCCACCCTAAGGATAGTGTTATGCTTTGAAATTTGGCGACTGAAAGACACTGCCATTGTTGGGTGATAAATCTTTGGATAAACTGTGGTATGAGTTGGATAAGAAGCATTGACTTGTTGTTTCTAATGATTTTTGCTTTACTCCTAGGAGTCAAACCCTGGTCAAATATCATGGAAATCCTGGAGGAAAAAGATGGGGTCGACACAGAGCTGCTGGTTTATGCGATGACTTTAGTGAACAAGGTTGGTTGATGATTGTTAAGGGTTGAATTATGTCCCCTTAAGATATGTTGAAGTCTTAACTGCTGTGAATATCTTTGAATGTGACCTAATTTAGAAATAGGGTCTTCATGGGTATAATCAAAGTAAGATGCGGTCATTAAGGTGGGCCGTAATCCCACATGACTGAGGGCCTTAGAAGAAGAGGGAAAGAGACGCACAGAGGGAAGATGATGTATGCACCTGTATATGAGGAAGACAGCTCTGTGAAGACAGAGGCAGAGGTTGGGGTGATATATCTGTTGGCCAAGGAATGCCAAGGATTGCCAACAGCCAATGCAAGAGGAGGCAGAGAAGGATCCTCCTCTAGAGCCTTCAGACAGAGCATGGCCCCGCTGACACTTCGATATCAGACTTCTCGTCTCCCAAACTGTGAGGAAGTACATTTCGGCTGGCTTAAGCCACCCGGTTTGTGGTACATTGTTACGGCAGCCCCAGGGAACTAATACAATGTGAAGATCTACAGTTGCCCTCTGAGGAAGAGCCACATCACCTAGGAGCCCCATGATGGTGGCTGGAACCATGGCTACAGTGTTCTTCTTTGCAAGAGGAAATGGTGTGTGTGCATGTATGCATGCTGGTGCGCATATGTGTGCAGGCCTGGGAGTGTCTGTGTGCTTGCTCGGCTTTGGTCTTTTCTAACAAAACCAGAGAGATGACACTGAGAATTTTATGATTACTTTTCCAATCAGGATGTCCCCTTAAAAACATTTTCCCTTAAGAATATAAATTAGCAAGTTTTGGGGCCCCTCCGAGGCTCAGTCGGTTAAAGATCCGACTCTTGGTTTCTGCTCAGGTCATGGTCTCACGGTTATGGGATTGAGCCCCATGTCAGGCTCCATGCTCAGCACAAAGTCTACTTAAGATTCTCTCTCTCTCTCTCTCTCTCTCTCTCTCTCTCGCCCCCTCTCTCTCCCCCTCTCCCCCCTCCCCCTCCCTCCCTCCCTCCCTCTCCCTCTGTCCTCCCCTTGCTCATGTGTGCTTGCTCTTTTCCTCTCTCTCTCAAATAATTTTTTTAAAAAGAATGTAAATCCGCAAGTTTTACCCTAAGAAAATGGCTTACAGTCCAGGAGAAATGAAGGCACTCTTGTTCCACTGCTTATTGAATTCTGACTGCTGGGGGCGGGTCCCATCTTCCTTTTATGAAGGTGATATCACCCTTGTGCTCTCTTCCCTCCCAGCCCATGCCCCCTGGTCACCAGCTGGGAGGTCAGTAGTCGTCTTAAGGATCCTTCCCTGGAGAGGGTGCTGACCCCATGCTGCCCTGGGACAGCCCACTCTCGGGACCGGAGTCCCTTTCTCCTTGAAACTGCGGTTGGAGGGGGGTATGTCCTTCAGATGGCTCCGCCCTAGACCTCAGGAATCACAGTAACCACCCCATGGGCCTGCCTTTCCTCCCCAGGCGGCTGGGCATAGGCCTACAGTACCAATTGCAGTGATGGGTGGTTCTTCAGAGAAGGTTCAGAATCTCTTCATGAAGTACAACTAGAGAAACATTTCCCCTGATGAACTGGGGACACATTAGTACAAAGCATTATGAGAAGTAATTTCTACTAGATATTAAACGGTTGTGCAAACTCTAAGGATTAAAACAATGTGGTCCTGGCTCTTTCCTCAGCAGACAGATGATGGGGGCAGAGGACCTCTGAGACAGACCTCACCGCATGGAACAACTCCCCCTAGGACTGCCGTCAGTAGGGATGGTTTAGCATCATTCATGATTGCGGATGGGGCTGTGCTAAACGGAAATAAACAAATACGTCCTTTGACAGATACTGAAATGAATTTCAGACAGGTTAGAGTTCAGTGTAACACATCAGACAGTAGAAAAATGCGAAGTAGAGGTGAAGATTAATTTGTCTCTGGTAGGTGAAGGGTATGTTACTCATCAAACCTGTCAAAAAGAATCCAAAGGGAAGGACATAAAACTGTGAAAGGATCTTATTTGTAAAATGAAAACCACAAACAAATGCTAAGGGCAAGTGGCAAATTGGGAAATTGCAAACAATGGGGCAGAAAATTATACAATCCTCAATATATTAAGAACCCAATGGAAACATGAAGGACATTAAAGCTATTAAGATGAAAAGAAATATATAGTAAAACAACAAACATTTTCCCCCCGGGTCTCATTGGCAGGGATTGCTTTTTAATGAAATGCCATCTGTTGATGAGGACCCACAAATTCTTCTACAGTCCTGGTGGGGAATGGGCAGTACTTTTCTGTAGGATAACCCTAAGAATTCTATTTATGTTTTCAGATGTCTTTGTGAGTTGACTTTACCTTGCAATTTTAAAGCAATTTTCTGTTGTTGCTTTTTAAGATTAAGGTCATCTATTTCCTGTCCTTTTCAGTCAGTGACATTGTTTTGGAAACCGTGGACTTCAGCAAAAATGGATTTTTCCCTCTTGCCTGGGGTTTTCCATTGTAATGCTACCCATCCTATTGGTGGAGGCCACGCTGGGCGGTTCTGATGGTCCCAGCAGCGTCGGCGGGTGTGTGTGGGCAGTCTGCTGCCAGTCACTGACAGGGACCCAGCGCGTGTCACATTCTCCTTGGCATCAGATGGCATTTAATGTCCAGGAATTCCTCACTTACTCCTTCTCTTCTGGCAGTTCTGTCTCATCTTTTATTAGTTCTGGCTCAGGGGAAGTCGAGGAAGGTCCTATGGACGTTACTCCAAATGTCATCCTTTCCTCAAAAAAGGTCAAATAAACCACTGGCACCCACCCTGGGTTTGTTTTCCTTTGGTGAATGCTAGGCCTGTTTATTGCCCCAGTGAGTAAAATCTTCTGAGATCCCAAACAAAGAAATAAATTGAAATGTTAATATGGGTCTGGAAAAAATTCAGACTCTGAAATCTGGGCAATTACTATATTGCTTTTCTAAGTTTTCTTTCAACAAAATGAAAGATGGACCAATAACATGGAATTCGAAATATGAACATTTTTATGACAAAACAAGGGTGCTACATTTTAGCCTGCTTAGGGTTCTGACACTGGCATTTGCTCTTTTTGTTAAACAGGGACATTAATGGGGGGTTTCCAAGATCCAGAGTAATCCCCCTCCATTCCTGCTCCTACCCCCTGACCCTGTGTTGTCAGATCTGAAGGAACATCAGAAACTAACCATTTCTCATGCTGCAAGCTGACGTTCTGTGATGCACTAATCCAGCTGAAATCCCCTCAGTGGGAACCCCCCACTTTGAGAGGCTCAAGTACTGACCACCTTATAGAATAGGAAGAGGCAGATGAGAGGGCATGGGTCACAAGGGGTATTACTGTTATTGTGAGGCTGGCTTGGAGCTTTCAGCGAAGGGGGGTAAGTAACCTGGATAGGATTCATGCTGAGTATTCACCTTTGTTTTTACATTTCATTTATTGTTAATTACTGTCCCAGAAACTTGTAAAAAAAAAAAAATTCAGCTGTATCAGTTGTAAAACTTGTATAGCTATGCATAATCTCCAGAGTTAGGATATAGAACATTCCCATCTTCCCCCAAATCTCCCTCATGTTAGCCATTTATAGTGATCTTCTGATTCCCTCTTCCTACCCCTGGCAACCATTCTCTAGCACTATAGTTTTGTCATTTCATCAGTGTCGAATAGAACCATACAGGATAGAGGTAACCATTTGAGGCTGGCTTCTCTCGGCATAATGCCTTTGAGGCTGATCTGTTACTGAGGGTATTAATGGTTGTTCCTTTCTGCTGCTGTGTCATAGTCTGTTACATAGCTACACCACAGTGGATTCTCCCATTGAAGGAGATGGGTTTTTACAGCTTTTGGATTTCACAAAAAATGTTGCTCTGAAAATTTGTGCACAGGCATTTGCCACACTGGTTGCATCCTATAAGAAAGATTTGATGCAATCAATGAGAACCCAGGAGAGGGAAAGAAAATGTCTTTTAGGACAGAAATTTCGCCCTTGGAGAGATGCTTGTGAAGATTGACATGTCACCAGTCCTGGCAAGACGAGGTCTGAGAGAAAGCAGGAAGCGGGGGGGCGGGTCATGAGTGTCATCTGAAAGTGAAGGCATCAAGAGATGTTTGCCTCACAGACTTCTCGGGGGTAGCTGCCACCTTTGCCAGAAGGAGGCAGTTTAGCTGTGAGGTATCAGGGTAGAAATGGGAGGACAGGACCCAGGGAGTGGTGGGGGCATGGCACAATTTGCTGAGCATGTTAGAGAATCAACTGAAAATAGGTGAATGTGTTTCTAGGATGGAGAGTCCTCTTTCCCTGCAACTGAAGAAAAGCACCTGTATTTGTTGGTGGCAAAAGGCCATCTTCCCTGCAGCTACACATGGAAGGGGGTGTACGTGGGCTTGGCTCCAGCCCAAATTTTCATGGTGGAAATGACAGATGACCTATTATTGAGCAAGTCTCCCTGAGTCTGTTCGGTTCTTTGAACCTAATTGTTTAATTAATAGAAATTCCCCCCTGCCCATCATGGTTGGGCTTGCTAAGGCAATGGGAATTAGGTCCTGGAATTTAACCCCCTGGAAACTTTGGTAAGAACTGCAGTTGACTCTCAGCAGGGGAAAGAGGAAAGAACAAGGGAAGGGAAAGAAGAGATGAGGAGGACCCTCTATGGCTCATCGTGGCCCCCACGGTTGAGTAGGAAGTTTTAAATCCAACATTAAATGTCAACCTACCTAGGTTCCTCAAATGGAGAATTTGGCAGAGGCCGCAATCAGGGCACCTCCATTCACCAGCCCTGCCCTGGCTTTGGGGTCCCGTTTTCTTTTCCTCATCTTTTAACAGGTTCAAGGGTTTTCACTAAAACCAGAAGGTGGATTGTTCTGATAAGATTCTTTGAAAGGCTGCATGCTTTTTCGTTTAGGTCGGGAGCCAGGGACCACTCAGGGCACTGTTGTCCGCTAATGCAGAGATGCTGCCTTACCTGGCACCTGCAGGCTCTGGCGTGTTCTTTTGCACTTGGCCCCTTAGGTGTGAGCACCTGTTTATTACGGAGTCTGGTTCACAGCCTCCTGTTCTGGATCCTTGCTGGGGGCCCTGATTAATTAAGTCATCCCATCCCTGTTATTTTTCACTCAGTTCTGATCTCAACAGCAGTAAGTTGTATCCTCTTTGTTCAGCATTGAAAGGAAAAAGCCATTATTTGGGTGATGAATAGACATTCTTTCCAATTATTAATAGCCCCCAAATAGAAGCGTTGGAAAAGTTGGTGCTGTGAACTGTTCTTAAGACAGTGTTGGTCTTTTCTCTTCCAAGTTCAGAATAATTTTGAAATTTATATGCAGGGCTTTTGGAAATACAAAGGCAATGAAATAGGGAGTAAAGACCTGTGTTTGGAATTCCAGGCCAGAATAATTTGTGCAAAAGCATGAGCGTGTGAGGAGAGGCGAGGCTTCTGCCCCAGGTCTGCAGGAACTTCTCGTTCCCTCAGGCAAACCCCTTCGCTCCTCAGGCCTCATCTCCCGACTCACGAGATAAGGGCTTGCAGTGAATCACCTCTAGGGTCCCTCCAGTTCTGAGTAGAAGCCCTGTCTGAGAGATCAACCTTCTTTTAAGAGACACAGAATTCAAAGAGAAGTCAGCTTTTCTCACCCCTTGGGTTATCTTTTCGTCTCTTGGTTGCTGCTTTGAAATTTCTCACATTTTCCTAAATTTCATAGACCCAGGGGAAGGCCTACCAAATTGAAAGAAAAAAGAATCATTACATTGTTATAACTCCAGCTGTTTGGTAGATTGATCCTAACAGGAGTTTCTAATCACTGAGCATGTTAGTTTTCTATTGCCATGTAACAAATTACCACGAATTTAGCAGCTTAAAACAACACAGTTTCCATGGGACAGGCTCCAGGCACTGCCTAGCGGGGTTCTCTGCTCAGAGACTCACAAAGCTGTAGTCAAGGTGTCGACCAGGACTGGAGTCTGGTCTGAGGCTTGGGATCCTCTTCCGAGCTTTTGTGGTTGTTGGCAGAGCTCATTTCCTTGCAGCTGGAGAACTAATGGTGGCTTGCTGCTGCTTTGGGTGCAGCAGGATAATCTCTCTCCTAGTCTCTGAGCTCCAGAAATGCCTAAACCTGCTTTTAAATGGCCCGCCTGATTAGGTCTGGCCCACCAAGGATAATCTTCCCTGTGATTAACTCAAAATCAGCTGATTTGGGTCTTGAATATCTGTAAAATCCCTTCACCTTTGCCGTGTAATGTAATTCAATGATGGGAGTGTCCTGCTTAGACTCAAGGGGAAGGGATTATACAGAACCTCTATACCAGGGGTGGGCTCTTGGGGTGCGTTCTGCTTATCACACTAAAGGAGTTTTTCTCCAATGATCTGGTCATCTGTCTTGGTTTGTCCCATATAGTTATAATCCTGGCCACTGGCTACCCTGCAAAAAAATGCTTTGAGAGCCTTGAGACAGTTCCCTAAAACATGTTCGTGTCCTGTTCTTTCTTCAGACTCTGTCTGGATTGCCAGACCAAGACAGCTTCTACGATGTGGTGGACTGCCTGGAAGAACTGGGCATTGCGGCCGTGTCCCAGCGGCACTTGAACAAGAAAGGGACCGACCTGGACTTGGTGGAGCAACTGAACATTTACGAGGTAACAGCACGTACCTTCTGGATGGCATCGTGCAGCTTGTCAGAGGCTGAGGTGAACACATTCTAGACGGGTGGTTCTGAGTGTGGGGTGGCAGCGTCCACAACACCTGGGAGTTTACAAAACGTGGGTTCTGGGCCCCTGCCCCCAGACCTCCTGAATCAGAAACTCTGAGAGTGGGCACGGCAGTCTGCGTGCTGCAAGCCTCCAGGTGCTCCTGGTGTTCAAAGGCGAGAACCCCTGCTGGAGGAAACACTTGGTCGCTTGCTTACTGTTCAGGATACCACACAGCTTCTCCCTTTCCTCTGCGGTCTCTTTTGCCTCGGTGTTTTATTTGCTATTTAACGCTATTGTAAGGAAATAATTAAAGTTTTAAAATATTAGCATAGATTTTACCGTTCATTTTTACTTTATGTAATGCCAGTTCAAAGTGCAAATATAAGAGCATTTAACTTCTACGCAGAATCCTATGCCATTTCCAGTTCCTAGCTCCTACAGGCCTTTGTATTTTGTTCCTGCCAGAACAGTGGAAACACCATACAAGATGAACTCTTTTGTTACTTCACTTCTTGATATGTGTTCATTCTGTTAACACTCACTCTACCTTCAATTGACTGATGAGTAAGGGAGGGCTGAAAGGAAAGGGAACTGTGGGCTACCTTATCTTTCCAGTTTTTCTATGTCATTTCAGCGTAACTGGTTGACTAGTACAGCAGAGTAACCCAGGTAAGAAAGGATATGGTAGGACCCTTGGGTTGCCATCTCTGTGCATTCAAAGCCAGTTTTGGTTTGGCTCCAGGGCTGTCCATGCCTCTGCTTAGTTACAAGGGAACACACTTACCTTGTACTCATTTTGATTCTCACCGAACTCCTGTCTCCTGTGCATCTATCAGCACTCTCTGCTAATGTGTGCAAGGATTGGCACACATGCATATTGCATCTACTTCCCCTACTCATGCACATGCTCCATTGTCCCATTGGACTTCACTTATAAAACATAATTTTAGGGGTACCGGGGTGGCTCAGTCAGATAGGCATCAGACTCTTGATTTCGGCTCAGGTTGTGATCTCAGGGTCGTGAGATCAAGCCCCATGTTGGGCTCTGCACTCAGTGTGGAGTCTACTTGTCCCTCTCTCTTTGCTCCTCCCCTTGCTTGCTCGCTCTCGCTCTCAAAAAATAAATGAAAAAAAAACCCACAAATTTAAAGATAAAATTAATAAGAATTTCAAGCTGGCCAAAGAGTATTAAAGCAAGCACAGAGCCCTGCAGAGTGGGAGCATGGAGCCCTGCACATCACACCCATGGCACATCCATGAAGGAGGCCTTGATGGGGTTACACATCATGGCTTTGTGGCCTTGTTCACTCGAGTTCAAACTGTTACCTGTGGGTTAGTTTTAAGTCAAATGCCCCCTTATTAAAGTTACTTATCTGATGTGACTCTTGTCTGGACTCTGAAGGTTAGAGCACATTTTGAGTAGCAAATCACATTCCTTATTGCTGATCCTCACTGTCCCAGTTTCCTTCCATGGCCAGAAGGGGGCAGAATCTGGAGCTCTGATTGCACTTGGGTGTGTGACTAAACGGGAAAGCTTATTACTTTAGACACACGCTTACCCATCATAGTGGTGTGAACTAGGCTATCCTTGAGGACGTTGTCCAGAATGTACTCATCATCCCAAAAAGAAACCCCATACCTGTTAGCAGACACTTCCCATTTCTCCCTGCCCTGCATACTACATACCCCCAAAACCCTAATCTAGTCTCTCTATGGATTTGCCTTTTCTAGACATTTCCTATAAATGGGACCGTACAACATGTGACTTTTGTGACTATTTGTCACTTAACACATTTTCAGGGTTCATGTTTTAAGCATGTATCTACTTTGTTCCTTTTTGTGCTAATGTTCCATTGATAACACGACATTTTGTTTATCAGTTCATCACTGGATGGACTTTTGGGTTATTTCCATTTTTTGGGCGGCTATGAATAATGCAGCTGTGAACATTTGTGTACAAGTTTCTGTGTGGACGTACACTTTCAATTTTCTTGGCTGTATATCTATGAGTAAAATTGCTGGTCATATGGTAACTTGATGTGTAGCTCTTTGAGGGACTGCCAGACTATTTTCCACAGAGGCTGTACCTTTTTATTTTCCTACCAGCAGTGTAATGAGGGTTCCAGTTTCTCTTCATCTGCCTCAGTGTTTATTATTGTCCTTGTTTAAAAATTATAGCCATCCCAGGGTGCCTGGGTGGCTCAGTTGGTTAAGCGACTGCCTTCGGCTCAGGTCAGGATCCTGGGGTCTGGGGATCGAGTCCCACATCAGGCTCCCTGCTCAGCAAGGAGTCTGCTTCTCCCTCTGACCCTCCCCCCTCTCATGTGCCCTCTCTCTCTCTCTCATTCTCTCTCTCAAATAAATAAAATCTTTAAAAAAAAATTATAGCCAGCCCAGTGGGTGTGAGGTGGTACACATTTTGGTCATGATTTGCATTTCCCCAGTGACTAATGATGTTGAGCCTCTTCCCATGTGCCTATTGGCCATTTTTCTATTTTTTTTTTTTTTTTTTGTGGAGAAATGTCTGTTCAGATCCTTCGCCCATTTTTAAATTGGGTTGTTTTGTTACTCTTGAGTTGTAAGAATTCTTTATTCTGGATACTAGATCCTTATCAAATATAAATTTTAATATATTTTCCCAGTATTGTTCCACTTCTGACCTAACTGATCAGTCTTATTCACAGTGATATACATTTTTAATCTTTCCTTTTTCCGCTTATAAAAATGATATGTACTTATTGAAAATATAAGTGTAAGAGGAAAAAAAAATCACCCATGATTTATTACTAACCACGGTTAACATTTTGGTCCATTTTTTCTAGCCTTTTTTATATATATATAGGTGTATGTTCTTAACTATGGAGATAGTTGTCTATATACAGTGTTGTGTACTGAATCTTTATTGGTAAATATGTTGGAGCCATTTTTTTATCACTAAATCTTCAAGAACTTAATTTTATTAGGAACACAATATTCTGTCTGTATGCATGTACCATAATACATACAGCCAAACTCCTTTTTTTTTCAGATTTGGATTATTTCCAAACTTTTTGCAATTAGAAATACTGTTATGATGGGCAGCTTTTTTCATAAATTTTTTGTGCATGGCTAGAGTCTTTGGAGGGATGTTTCCCAGTTAAGAGGCTCCATTGTGATTTTACTGGGTAGAAGTGGAGAGACTGATGTGTAATTCACTATTTGCTATAAGTCATTGTTATAAAAAGTGACAGTTGAGGGACAGAACAGAATTACCTTTCTATGGAGGGATCAGAAGAAACTGAACCAGAGATACTTGTTATCAGAGCTTAAAGCTTCCCATCGCCCCACCGAGCAGGCCAACTCTTCGTGTCCCTGCTCTGGGCATCTTCTCCAGCTGAGCCTCAGTTTCCCCAGTTATCTGCTCTGCTTTTTGTGTTTCGTTACCACTGGCAAGTGGCATTGGGAAGCCAATGGATGGTGGAGGAGTGTATTCTTATGGCTCCTAAATGAGAGGTTAATGTAAGAATCCTAGAGACGGAGAAGGAAGGTGCTAAAGACAATTCACTTACATGAAGGTGGAAGGTGGATTTTTCCCAGTACAGATACCTTTTTACCTTAGCCCCTTCCCCCCAGTCAGACCTCCCATCTCTGAGACTCTCTGCTCAACCAGAGGGTTACATGAATACAGCTTTGGATTCTATGTAGTCAGTGTATATTGGAAGACTGCACAATGCAGGTGAATTTCCCATTAGTGAGCCAACTGGGAGAGAATTTTGAGAAGTGGCCTGGATACCTACTCCAGGAAACTTCCTGTTTCAGGCTGTACCTTCCCTTCAGCCTGCCTGACTCTCAAGCTACCTCCCCATCTCCCTCTTCCCCTTTACATCAGCCTTTTCAAAAGTTGTTCTGTGTTCACCATCTTCCTTTTATCCAATTGCATTTGCTTCAAACCTTTAGTATCAAGGTCACATCACTCACAAATACAGCATCTGTGTGTTATTTAAAGAATAATAAAATAAATCCTTTACCTGTTGTGATGGTTAATTTTAGGTGTCAACTTGACTGGGCCACAAGGTGCTCAGATAATTGGTCAAAAATTATTCTAAGTGTGTCTGTGAGGGGGTTTCTGGATGAAATGAAGATCTGAGTTGGGAGACTGAGTAAAGAAGATTGCCCTTGCAGTGTGGGCAGGCCTTATCCAATCTGTGGAAGGCCTGAGTAGAACAAATTCTCTCTGCCTGATGGTAATGAGCTGGGACAGAGGTTGCCCACTACCTTTGAACTCCACCTGAGACTAACCCCCTTGGTTCTCAGGCCTTTGGACTGCAAATCTTGGGTCTTGTTAGCCTCCACAATCATTAGAGCCAATTCTTTATAGTAAATCTCCATGCATATCCTATTTATTCAGTTTCTCTGGAGAATCCTGACTGATAACCTCATGAATTTATGAATTAGGACATTACCAGGAACTCGGAAGTGTCCTTCATAGCCCTCCCTGGTGTCACCCCACTAATCCCCAGCACTGTTCCTTTCTTTATACTTTTACCCGAAAATCACTTATTCTGTGAGCTAACACAAAGGATCAGATTATCAGATCAGTTGACAGATCAGAGATCTTGTTATCTAGCTGTGCTAATCTAGTTATGCTAATAATCTCAAGAATACAGACTATGGAGGTGCAGAGGGAACAGGGAAGGGTCTGTCTTAGGTCTTTTTTTCATGCATCAGACGTGTGCTCTCTGGCCCAGAAGAGGCGAGGTCTCCAGGTGGGGATCACAGGTCCCCTTGCCCAGTGAGTAGTATTCCATTATGAGACATCTCTACTACATAGCTCAAAGAGTCATGGCTCACGAGCCCATACATCTACATTTATTTACTACAGGTAATCCTCAGCCAGGTGATCCCTAGCCAGTCCTATCCTGGTAAGGGCATTCCAGAAACAAGAGCTCTCATTTTAGCAAATATCA